GACCTGAAGCCTTGAAGACCTGAAGCCTTCTGACGACCTGAAGCCTTCTGACGACCTGAAGCACCGTGTCTTCGCGCAAAAGTCACAACCCGCTTCTGCCAACGCAATGAGACTCTCCAACCAAAGAAAATGCATACGGCAACACTCAAGCACTCCAACCCCAAGAACAAATCTGAAAAAAACGGGTCCTCACCCACATGTCTGCTCAGCACCATTGTCAAATGGAAGTTTATGGCTAGCTACTAGTACATCTAGTACCACCAACACCGACCACTTCCAATATCTTTCAATTTCCCACAGCCGATTGAAATCGGTCGAAGACCATTTTTTCTTTTTGACGTGGTCCTGTCGAAGTCTCGGTCTTTCGAGGACGCAACTTCAGCATTTTTCCCAAGAAGTGGCCGTGTTGCTCAAACCTTGCCATGTTTGAGGTGCTTTGTGGGCCTGAAAAGCTCAGCTCAACGACCACGTTGAGAAGAAATCGTGTTCGAACCTTGCCCGGTTGGTGGGGGGCCGATGTCACTCATTGACCCTAACGACCAACAAAGTCTGGTGAACCTCGCGTGACGTCGCTGTCTTCTGGGCAAACATGTCATCAAACCCAACCCACCATCCATTCCCCAACAATTAATAACATCATATAACATCCAACAAAATCAATCCCTCCGGGCCATCCAACAATCACCCGGCCTCCATGCTCACCCAGCGTGCCGTTTGCGCCGCCCCGGCACCGCGCCGCGCCAGGCCGACGCCCCGCAGCTGCGATCGACCACCGCCCAGCGGCGCGGCTTGCGCCGCCGGGCGGCGCCGCTGCCTTAGAGAAACAACGGCCATCGTTTTCAGCACTTTGAAGGAGATGTGACCTGATCTTTCCTTGTTTAGCCTGAGGGGTTGATGATTTTGGTATGTGCTCATAGAAAAGGCACTCCGCAGAAAAAAGCTCTGCGGGATGATGCCTTGGGGGGAAGTGAGGTCTTCGCGCCCCTCACTTGGCTTCTCCTCGGCTGTCCCGTTCGGCTGTCCAGTGATGGGTCAATTTTTTTTCTGGGGTGTACGGTTTACTTTGTATCCTCCTTTGTTGGCTTCAGATTCAGATGTGTATGTCATGTCATTTTTTCGGGCCGCAGGTGCCTTCCCATCTTTTGCAACTGTCAGATTCTTGGAGACGCGGCTTCCCCCACGACATCTGCTCACCTCACTGCCATCCTGTGTGGAACTCGGCCAAGTCTCGTGGAGTCCGGCGGTTGAATTCCCCACGTACCATCAGCGACTAACCTGACGTTGGACGAGGAGTTAAACAAGTTTGGCACTCCTCACGGCTCACGTTTTGGCACTCCTCACAACCCTGATATGACCATCGGACCCTGTTGGTGTTCCTACGACTTCCCTGGCAAGGAGCAGCCGCGGCGCGCGTTGCGACCTCGTCGGCGGGGCATGAGGCACGTTCGGCCGCCCCTCCTTCGGTGCCTTTGGTGCACTGGGCGGCTGAGCACCTGGCGCAACGAAGCAGGGGCCTTTTGGAGGCCCCTTTTTGGAGCAAAGCCTTTGGACGGCAGAATGTGCCAAAAGGGTTTCAACCGGACGTGGCTTGAACCTCAACACTCAATACATCTCAGCACTCTGTTTGACATTGTTTGACTTCCAACCGGTCGAAAGGAGTGCCTTTTAACTACCCATTTAAACTCCAGTCCGTGTTCATCCCGGTCTTTGCACGAGCCAAACAAGAATGGATGGCAAAACCAACAACCAAAGCAACGTTCGACTCGGAGGAGTCCAGATGGACCACCATGACCCATGACACCAAACACACACTCCAACATCTTGCCTGCGAGCTTGCACAATGGTGGCAGCTCTGTCCCATTCAGCACAGCCTGGAGACAGGGAATGCTGGGACATGCCTGATGGCCCCACTTTCCGCAAAACTGTTTCGCATGTCACGAGGATGAGTGTTGATGTTGATTGACCCAATCGCACGTGTCGATCTCAATCTGTTGCTGCACTCCAGAACTCCGAGCAAAAAGCCTTGCTTTTTCCAATTGTCGCTCATGCATCCTTCAGGATACACGCTTTGGACAGAGATCACAGAGTGAGTTTAGCATTTAAATCGAACTGAGACACACTCTGGCTCACGTTCCATGGAAGTGGATGGCATGGCCCCGTAAGGAAGACGTCTTTCCTCTAGAAACACGGGTTGTCCACTTCCATGGAACGTGAGCCAACGTGTGGTCGAGTCTTCCTCACTGATTCCAAAATTCCCGCCCACACAACGACAAGTTGGGCCATAAGACTGTATAGCATCCAAGCTGGTGCCCTTCATTATATAGGCCCTTATATAGAGATCCCCCATTAGGCCCAGAGTTTGGAGAATTCCCAGGTTGAGCAGTGGCCTCTTCCAGAAGCGCCAAGTGTCGAAGCGCCGGCATTTCACCTGGCCCCATTCACCCGACTGAGGAGCAGCAAGAAGAGACACACAAAATACATCAAAATACAATTTCCAGTGAGGGATGGGTCAGAAAGTGGCTTTTGTCTACCAAGTGTGCTAGGTAACTCAAGGACCATCCTTTTTCTATCATGTTCACCTTAGTGCCCATGTGTCTGACCAAGTTGCGAGAATGTTTGGATTTGGGCACTACTAGGTCCAGCTATCTATCAGAACAACACCCCCTAAACAACCCAAACAGTCAATGGAGTTTGTTTCGCTCACCCAGATCGAAACACCCCTCTCGTGGCTGCCTGCTGCTTGTCCACACTCGGTCGGGGCATGCACCAGACCCAGTAGACGCCCAGGGCGCTGCTGTGGCCAAGTTGGTGCCGCTGCTGGGGCTTTCCTGACACGAGTTTTTTCCCCGCGATGACCCACATGATTCTGCATGCCTTTGTTTAAGGAGTTCCCAAGTTCTCCCTCTCTCTCTTTCCTGCTCAGGGATGTCTCTCAGGGTCATCATTGGAGAGACATCTCAAAATGCTCTTGGTTCTGTCTGAATACGTCTACTTCGGCCATGCTTGCCCCAGTATCAGCGGCCCTGGACTGCAAATGAAGGATTTAGCATGGAATGGTGTTCACCAATCCCATTTTTCCTACCCCCCCGCTGTTGATGGAAGAAAGCCTGAACCACCTAATGTCCACAAAACGCTGCAAAACGCTCCAATCAGCGAGATTTCTTGGTAATTATCCTCTATTCAGCTTGGCGCGGGCTCTTTCGACCACAATCGTCTTCATGCACATGGGGTAGCCACGCGGGCCAACCTCTCAACCCCGGCGTCGCCTCAAGCGTGAGGTGAAACGCCCTGTACGCGGCACATCTGTTTCGGGGGAAGCCACCTGAGACACATCAGAATTCCAGTAGCCAAAACAGCTCCTAGAGAAACTGGTTCAAGCAGTGATGACATGTGATGACTATGACTAACAAAAAAAGGCAACTCACAAAGGCGGCTTGAATTCATACAATGGGCCACGGGTACATTCCTGCCCCTGGTCAAGAGCAACCACTAGCTACAAAAAGCAGAGCTATGTCGGATGGGCCCTGACGAAGAAGCTACAATTCCAAATGAACCTGACATCACTGGAAACCTTTGCTCTTTGAGTTGGGTTGGTTGGGTGCTTCAAACTCCCAATCTTCACCGTCACAGTCACATGCAGCCCGGCCTTTGAGCTTCTCTCCTCTGTTACATGCTCCTTGGAGGGCACCACGGCTTCATTTGAGGGGTATTTCTTCGATGCTACAAGTAGTGTGTTGGTTGTGTGGCTTTGCGAAGGAGGAGCAGCGATAAAGATAAATAATGGTTGGTTCATGTGCTGTGGTGAACTATTACATAAATGAGGGATCAGTTGCAAGGAGTTGGCAGCGCCACCGGCTGCCACCGGGAAATCGACTAAAAGAACAAGAAAAGGAGGAACGTCGATGATCCGGAGCTTGCCTGTTCGCAATGCTCATGCACAATGTCCCTGCATATTTGTGTGCGTGTGTGTGAGCAGAAGGCTCCATCTGACTCTCTCTCTCTCTGACAGCAATAGCCAAGAGCCTGTCCCGGAACTTCAGCTACCAGCAACCAAGCCTGGATGTTCATCTATGCTCCTCCCACCAGACGGTGGAGTCCGGCCCCCCCTGCACCCTGCCTGAAGCGCCTGCTGCATGAGGTCAGGGAGAAAGTCTGGGCCATCATTCATCACCTAGGCCCAGGAGGACAAACCAACGACCGCTCATTGGTGAAGGACCTCGATTTCAGGCACACCCGGGACGCGGACATCCATGCCGAATCGAAGCGGGCGAGATCGTGGTAAGAGATCTTCCAGGCTCCATGTATTCCATTTATTCCCCAGATGCTCCATGGGACTGCCATATTTGCCTACATTGGAGTGGTTTGGGGGTTCAATGTAGGCATATATTCCATACATGGAGTGTATGAGTTCTATATGTTCTATGGGGAAACCTATGGACCTATCTGACACGGTGATCCTGTTGACGGGCAGTATGAATGCCTGGCACTTCTGAAATGTCCAGTTGCCAGTTTCCTTGGGTAGTTGAAGATGTGACCTAAACACACCACCAGCCACCCGACCTAAACAGAATGTACCCAGGGCACTTGACGTGATTAAAAGAGTGTGCTGGCAGCCTCCTGTCTCTGTCTCTACAGTTTGAAGCAAGTGGCAGCCTCCTGCTCCAACATCAGCGATTGGGCAGCTGCTTGAGCAAATCACACACCAAAAAAATAAGGGAAGCAATTGCTTGATGCTTTTGAGATTCTGCGAAACCAACAGAGCGTCCAACAAAACATCCACAAACTGTGTTCATCAAACACAATTTTGGAGCGATTAGGGCGAGAGCGCCTGGTTTGCACTTACCATGCCATCATGCCATGCCGACCCAGCGAGCAAAGCAGCACACGAGACTAAAGCAGTAGATTGCTGGATGTCTTAATGTTGCCCCACCTGGCGCTGCTGCCGCAGAGTAGCAGGAACTCACACCTCCGAGCATGTGCGCGCTGACCAGCAGGGCAATCGGTCTTCACGAGCCCCGTCAGCCACATCAGCGGCAAAGGTGCTAAGTTGGAAAATGAGGCTCAGCTCTCTAAGATGCATCAGCCCTGTAAACGTCCCGCCGCCCGTTTCAGGATCGGAGCGAGATGAACCCTGACCTTAGCAGGGAGAGCTTGCAAACCATCAGCGTCCCATCATAGCAACAATGCATAGCCCCCGATATGAGTCAAAGCAAAGACTGTGGTGCTCCTCCACACAAGCTTGTGTGGGAGCTGATTCTAGGCGGTGATCAGCGACATCACGACTATCAGGCCGCAGCCACTGGCAAGAAGGCTGCCATGTTGCTCAAAAGCCTTTCTTTCTGAGTGTCAGCTCAAAATCCCTGATCCTGAGGCAGGCCCTCCTGTGTGGTTGAAGTACATCGTCACATACCTGAAAAACCACCTCAAGTTGTGGATCTTTTGCTTGACGTACCAAAGGAATCCAAAAGAGAGAGGAGTTCTTCCAAACTGACCTTTAGAAGTTGCAGTTCGCAAGGCAAGACCTCCAGTCCGCCACCCGGATCAGGCGATGACTGAATGTTGGCAACAAAATGAAACAACCGCCCCGGCCACGGTCATCACCCTCGAGGATGAACTGAAAGACATCTATATTGTATCATTTGTGTGGTCTGGGGAGTGTCATCACCCGCTTGGTGAGCTGAAGATCACGAGCCCTTCCCTGGTCAAAACCACAAAAGCCTCGCCTCAAACCTTGGGCGGTTTGGGAGTCTCTCAGTAGCTGAACGTGCACGTGATTGCAATCAGGAAGTAGGAAGGGCCCCGCGATCTTATGAGAAACGCACGGCGATCTTGCAAGATGCACTGGGAAACCCCCATCGTCACAGATGGAGTTTCGAACACCAAACCTGTTGCCCTCTAGCACGCCGAGATGCTACAAAAGCTCTCTACCGGCAAACATGGCAATAGCAATTCAAAAGCACAATTTCGACTAGTTTCAACACCTGTAGACAAAGTTGGGACACCGATACTCAAGATCTGTGATTCTCTGACGGGGGACATGCCAACGCACTGGCCAAAATGAGGCGCTTTGTCCTTCAGCAGGGGCTCCCAGCTACGCTGGTGCAAGATTTAGCTGAAAACCAAGCCTCCGCGGATGCACCTCCGCTTTATCCAAACGCTTTGCCATATTGCGCATGAGCGCACCTGAGGCATCGCAAAGGCAGGACATCCGAAGGAAGGACGGACGAGGTCCGTGGTGCTACCCTCAAGGACCCACCCGCCAGCCCCATGGTTCATCTACCACCCCAGTCGTTTTCATCAATGTTGATCTGATGAGGGGTAAATAATGTTGATTCAAATCCATCATGCCAGCCAGCTTCATGACTTGAACATGCTGCCAAAGCTCGAAATTCCTCCTCGTCGATGACGCTGTCACCGTCAGCATCCGCTGCCTGTATCACAGTCGTCACCGCATTGTTGCAGCCAAGCACCCTGCACGCAGGTGGGCCGTCAGCGATCATTCAAAGGGACAGAAGGGGCGCTGTCAGAGCCCGGGCACTTTTCGTTGCAGCTCATTGCGCATTATGGTAGCTCCTAACTTGCTAGGATCCTTATATATCCCCATCAGACGGATAAGATTGAAAGTTGGAAGCAAAGCCTAAGCCTTCGCCTTCAACCTTGCAAAGTTCCTGCAGCTCGTCCGAAAAAATACGTGGGCGAGACAGCTAGTTCCCAGTTTAAACTTTGTACCTGGCTTCTAATACCCGATGACACCTGTTGACCTGCAGTTCTTCCCGCCCGGCCGATAGAGCTCATGCGGCTTGATCTTGCCGGTCTGGTCAATATCCAAATAGTGAAACACCTGTCGAAGAAGTCAGAGTCGCCCGCTGAGCGGTTCGTTTCAGGTTCTCCGCTGCAAACGTCTAAAGCTACGAATGTTCGTTCGCCTTGGAACATCCCAAGCAGTCAGATTGTTTTGGTGGCACAGTCGCCCAAAGCCCACAGTGACATATCATGCAGATCCTGCAGCACTCCGAACACTGAGACACTCTACTCTACACGACAGATGCAACCAACCCTGAGGTCGCCTGCTTGATCGCCTTGTCTGTGGCCAGCGTTGATGGCTTCATCGTCGCAGCGAGCCACTCGGTGTAGTGGACCTTTCCTGGCACTCAGAAAGTGATGATGGAAGCGAGCCGATATCAGACTCCCGGCCGCTCCTGCTTAAAGGATGTTTAATCATGCTGCTGCCGCTACGACTGTGACGACGACTGCGACGACAACCGCGACCCTTGCAACTATAGGAACTATAGCATGGCTCCTGTGCCATCAGCGTCCAAAGCATTGAAGATCTCGGTCAACTCGGACTCGTTGATTTGATGGCCGCACAATCGGATACCTTCCTTGGTCCGGCTCGCTGAACTGACGAGCAATCTCATAAAAAACGTGCCAAGTGTGGCTTGTATGGCTCAGCGAGCCAAGAATCTCTGATCTCCTCCTTGCTCAGCGAGCCTCGGTGAGTCAGGCTGACCAACACATCAGGCGTGGCAGCTCATGTGACGTGGCAGCGACAAGGTCACCTTGGGTGGACTTGGTCTTTTTTCAGGTCTGGAGTGGCTACCCGAAACATCCCGAAAACGCCTTTTTGTCCGGTGCTGTACAACGTGTTCAGGTCCGAGATCTCACCCATTGCACTTCGCTACAGCACAAAGGGGTGACCCGAGGGAGAATGGCCCAGCGACCTGCCATCTTTGCAACTGCAGCAGGGTGCAGCCTGGCCATGCAATAATTGACCTCTGCCTGTGCATTCACCGGGTCGGCTATCGTTTTCGAGCTTGTAGTGATGGTGCACAGTCAGCAGGAAAAATTGACTTAATTGTATATAAACAAGGGCCTGCAACTGAACCTTGCATGTCACAGGTACCTTACTTTGGCGACAGCATCATCTCTACAATGAACTTTACAGTTTGACCTGCCACCGGGAATCTTTTCACAGCGTCTTCTGTCACACTACCAGAACCGGTCTTCCCAGCGCGGTGGTCTTGGGCCGACGTGAGGGACGGCACGTGGGTCCTGGCTCGTCCTCCTCTGAAGGCTCCGAAGGGTCCTCCAAGTCGAAAAAGGTCTTGCGCACCACCAAGCGAGGTTCCATCAACTTCTCCAAACGCTCCTGGAGATGCATGGAAAACTCGCACTTCCCCAGGAACTTGGGCCCCACCTCCTCATGCATCCCTGGAGCACCTGATCCGCCATTGGCCCGGCGATACGCCGTCTTCTGCAAGGCATAGGCCTGCAGAAAGCGTTCCCGAACCAATTCCCACTCATCACGGCGAACCACACATTGATAGGGCACCAAAGTCTGGCCATCCAAGCTCTCGTAGGTGTTGACCTGATATCCCAAGCGGGCCAGGAACACCTGGAGGTAGGATGAGAGGTGGAACTTCTGCGAATTGGGCTCATACCTCAACCAGCGCCTGAGCCCATAAGGGCCCCCGGCGTCGATTTCGGTCAAAGCGGTTTCGGTCACGAAAGCAGGCAACAAAGGCATGCCACGTTTGAAGCTCTGCATGGCGAGCGTCACATAGAAGCGCTCATCTTGCTTTCGAAGCTCCGCGATGCCAGGGCGGTTCAGGTAACTCACTGCCGTGCTCCTGGCAGAGCTCAAGACGAGGCGGAAATGTTCCTGGGCCCACTGGGCAAAGCGATCCTCATAGACCCTCAGCACCACATAAACAGTGAAAGTCTCTTTGGTTGCACTGGGTCGTACCAGGATCATAAACTCATAGGACCGATCCTCGGCTTCTTCTTTGTAAAAGGCACAGCCACTATCGCCTGCCTTGGGATAGTTCCTTCGCACCTCCTGATGCCACGCCACCGAGCCGGCATCAAAGAAGTAGTCCATCACTTGTCCGGCCATGTCTCCGAACAGCACGGCGCAAAGCCTCACGATGCTCCAGGAGCTCGTGGCTTCGACCACCGCCTCGCCCGGCACCACGAAGTCCACTGAGTTCACCGTGATGCCGTTGATGGGACATTGATCCGGATGAAGGGATCGAACTTCCGGGCGCACCATCACATTGGCTGGATCCGCTGGCGCCTCATGGATGGTGATCTCCTTGAGTTCAAACTTGATCAGGTGACCCCCCCAGGGGCAGCTGGTGTTCATCAAGGCCGCGTCAGAGGTGACCATGGCCTTGTTCCAGCCGTTCTCCTCCAACAGGTGGGGCATCAACTGGCACCAATCCTCCACTGATTCTGGTCGCAAGGCCATGGTGATAAGACAAGCTGCTGCGCACGCGTCTGGTGCACACGAGAGGGTGATTCCACGTGGTTTCGTGGCTTTTGATCCGCAAAGTCCAAGGACCTGTTTCAGTGAAGCACGAGCCATGTTCACCATGAAACCAGCTTTCAACTTAAACCTCGGCCAAGAGCATTCATCTAAGGGTGCATCCATTAAATCATATGAAATCCATCGTTCGCTCAATCTCTCAAACCTAACCAACGGATGGACCAACGGTTTCTTTCGCCGTGGCGCCCGTTCTCGAGGTGTCGAGCAGGTGGAAGGTATCTCTCAGCTCAGCGACCTGTTGCTCCTGGACGTGCGCAGAACGCGGGTGTCCGGGGACCAGGCCAAATCGGTGCGAAATCGGAGCGAATCTCAACGGCCAGGTTTGGTCGTTTGCGAATTGGGTCTCAGCCTGTTTGAACCTATTCGCTTCTGTCTTTTTCGAGCCAACGTCACTGTTCTGGCTGCGAACGCAGGTGGCTGCTGCTCGACGCCGCACCACCGGACCGCCACACCCGCCGACACCTCGGAGCGGTGCGCCACGAAGGTGAGCACTGCTCGCTCGAACTTGGAGTAGTGTCGAAATGCTGCCAGCCGTCCTTGGTGCGTCGTCTAGCAGCCTAGCAAAAGACTGGGCGTTGATTCACCGTTGTTGTTTTGTGTTTTGGTGGGCGTTGGTGGTAACATTGGAAGCTTGTGTTGGGAGCGGGCGTTCCTGCACACAGGTCTCAGGTCTGTCTCCATGGTTGTACTCCAAGCTGCTGATGGTGCCTGGGCGGAAGCGTCGAGGCACAGCTTTCTAGAACGACCGGCTGCGCCGGTGGTGTAGAACTCACCCCACAATAAGGTCATCTCTCAAGGATCGCATGTTCAACCAAATGGTTCTGACATGGTCCAAAGGCGCAATGAGAAAAGCCAACTGTAAGCCATTGCGTCATATAACGAATTTAGCTATATACATATATATATATATATGTATTTATATATATATTATATATACTACAAAAAGTTGCAAGGTCATAATAGAATCGAATGTTACTCTGCTCGGAAAGAACATAACCCAATGTTTTGGAATGAACCATCTACTCTGCAGGCAAAATGCCTGGAACCCCAGAGGCAACATGCAAATGGCTCAAGCCATGTTAGGCGAAAAACCGTGACAATGAAAGGGGAAACAAACGCTAGGGGAAGCGTTGCAAAGATGGCGCAAGCTTTCCAATGATGTGTTTTGAGTGGTTTCTGTGAGTGGTCTTGCAAAGAAAATTGGCACGACAAAAGCCATGAAGGGCACCATACTTAGATGGCGCAAGCGGCAACAGCTCATTTATCAAAGGTTTTTTCGATATCTTGTTTACAATTTTTTCCCTTTGTGGCACTGACAAAGAGTCCTTTTCCTTCGGAAGGAACGGTAAGTGAGAAGTGAAGGAAACGAAAAAAAATGTCAGGGAAAGGGTATGAAAGGAAAGGGAACGAGAAGGAGAGGGCAATGAGCTGGCCATCTATTGGCTCAACCATCATTATCACCTTTCACACAAGGGTTGCGCCATCTACCTACTTGACTGTTGTTATCACGCACCGTTCTGAAAATCCGCCCGCACCGAAGGTGCCGAGGGCGCCCTGGGCAGTCGCAAGAAATCTGCTGGATTGAATCTTAAGCTTTAGGGGGGGCCAGCCTTGTTCGGGAAACGCTGTGCTGCAGTGCTTTTTGAAGATTCAATTGTTGGCGATGCCGGTTATGCCGGCCGGGGAACATCGCATTATCGACGCCCCGGACGCATGCACAACCCGGTGGACGCTGCATTATTGGCATGCTGGGTGCGTTTGTCCGTGTGTCCTGCCCGACCGAGACACAGACTGACAGACCGAGATAGACAGACCGAGACAGACAGATCGAAACAGACAGACCAAGACAGACAGACCGAGAGCGAGACAGACCAAGACAGACAGACCGAGAGCGAAGACAAACAGACCGAGACAGACAGACAGACAGACAGACCGAGCCAGACAGACCGACCGAGACAAACAGAGCAAGACAGACAATTACAGACAATTAATATCGCACGTGTGTTCGTCCATGTGTCCTGCCCGACCGAGACAGACAGACTGACAGACCGAGACAAACAAACTGACAGACCGAGACAGACGCACCGAGACAGACGACAGACTGAGTGTTTCCTCCCAGCTCCGGGGGCATAAGTTGCTAGTTCCCGGCTCCGCGAGCGCAGGTTGCTGCCGAGCCGGTAGGGTGCTAATGACACACTTTTCCCATGTATGTCTGGATGTGTGTCTGCATGTATGTCTGTCTGTATGCATTTTTTTTCCTAAAGTGGCACCTTTTCGGTTGAACGAGGGCCGTTTTGGCCGTGCTGCCGCTGCCAGCGCGCTCGTCACGAGGGAGATGACTTAGAAGAAGTCCACCTGCACTTCATCATCGGCAGTGAGGCTTTCCTCTTCTTCTCGCTCTTGGCTGCTGGGTGGCCTGTTCTCTTCGGACTGAGTTCCAGTGGCCGTTGACACCAGGGTGCCGGCAGCTTGGCTGGGTATCATGGCCTGGCGGGGATGTCGGTCTGCAGAGGTTCCACTGGCATGGTCAGGTGGGCCAGGCTTGGTCGCTGTCTCCCTTTCATCAAGTGCCGTTGGGAAGTGCAGCCGTCTTGGAGTAGGGCCTTTGTGTCTATCCTGGTCTGGGGCCTCAGGTGCTTGAGGTGCACCTTCAGCTTCTTGGCTGAGGGCTTCACTCTTCCGCTTGAAGAAATCACTGATTGGTGGGGAGCCGCCGCCACTGGCTCCTCTGCAGGCCTTTGTGAGGTGGAGGTTGGAGATGATGCGACTGTCACCATCTAGGTTCCACTGACATCCACAGGAGGTGCATCTCACCTTGCCTCCTTTCTGCCACAGGCTGTGGCTTGGATGGGCTTGGGAGCTTTGTGTGTACTGTTCATCAATGCATCTGGATGTGATGAAGCTTTGGAAAGCCCCTTCATTGACCCGCTTGTGGGTGTTGACGCCGCACTTGAGGCATTTGAGATAGCCAGTGGTCTCAGCAAAGTGATGGTCTGAGGGGCCTGGCTGTTGTTGCTGTTGCTGGTGCAAGAGGTTCTTGATGGTCTGGGCCCTGGTTTGCTTCTTGGCTGGCGGGTCTGCTTGGGCCGGGGTGGCCTGGACTTCCTTGAGGAGGACTTGTGGGCAGCTTTCTTGGAGGCGCTCCTCGAGTATGGTCTTAGTGAGGCCTTGATGCATCCTGGTGCCACAGGCAACACACTGGTATCCGCTTCGGTGGGGCTCCCATCTATGGTGCGTGTCATCCCAGGCCTTGTTTCATTGCTTCACCAGGTCACGCTTGTATTGCTTCGTGTGCTTGCCCTGGTGGCGCGGGGCCTTGTGATGGATGTAGTGTTGTGGGTCTTCGTAGATCTTGGCTAACCTCTGCACTGCATGCTTGTACACCAGCTGGTGATCGTTGTCGAGGACTTGCTGCCACTCTTCCTGTTTATGGTCGTGAAACTGCTTGGCCCTCTCCCATGCCGTGAGGGCGGCATCACGCTGTCTGCGTCTGAGCTGGGGTTCATTGCCCGGGGCGTCTGGTGTACGTGTGGCCTTGCTGACGTACAGGACTGTGATGCGACCATAGTCCTGCTCCGTGACTTCTTCCAGGATGTCCCTGAAGGGAGCTCGACTTTTGGGCTGGTGCCATGCTTCCCAGACCGTGACCAGCTGGACGATGACTTTGGCTGCGGTTGTGGTGTGCTTGGCCAGGGCGACAACTCCTGCCAGGAGGGCTCTGGCTTTTGTTTGTGCTCCCGTGGCCACTCCCGTGATGGCTCCAAGCCGGCTGAGCTGTCCCAAGCTCATGGTGTGGATGCAGAGCCCATAAACCCACATCTGGCTGCGTTCATCATAGGAGGAGGGAGTGGCATCAAGGGTGTAGGCCCAACCATTGTGTGGTTGGGGTGCCAAAGGTGTCAAGTCTGCCCAGCAGCCATGGCCTTGATGTGGATGCCCCTGGGTGCGGTGTTCCTGGGGCTCGAGCGGGATCCAGCCTGCTGTCCAAAGTGGCTCTTCATCCTTGGACGTGATGCGCTCCATCCATTCTGGCGGCATTGGATCATGCTTTTGGGTTTTGTGCCACTTGCATAGCCAGAGAATGTGCTTGGGAGTGGCTTCGACGTGGCAGAGAGGGCATTGCTTGATCTTGGTAGCTTCCCTGTACTGGACGGCTGCTTGGACCCATGTGTTGAGGTAGTGCTTGCTCTGGGCCGGGAGCTGTTTCTTGACAGCATGGTAGGTGTGCCAGTCGATGCCCGTGATCAGATTGTGAAAGTGCGGTTTGCTGGCAAGTCGGTTGATGCGTTGATTCTGGGCTTCCTGGATGATGACCTTCTCTAGCTTCCACCAAGGCTGTTGCAGGTCAAGTTCATTACCCGTCATCAGGGGTGTTTCCGGGCGGGTCCATCGCATGAGGGTGCTTGCCTGCCAGCCCCATTCTCGGAGATAGGTGATGGCAGCCGCCATTGGGCCTCGGACTGTATACCACGGGTGGGTTTTGTTCTGCACTTGGCTGTGGGTGGCTACCCAGGCTTGCTCTAGTGCTGCCATTTGGTCTTCTGGCCAGGCTTGGATGAGGCTATGTATGGCTTTGAGGTGGTGCAGGACAATCTGATCCCCTGGGTCGATGTATTTCTTGTGGTGAAGATCATAGGTGCTGTCCAGCATTCCACCATTGTGGTGCCCCAATTGTTTGGCCATGGCCTGTCTGAGTGCGGTTCTGTAGCGTGGTGCTAGGCCTTGCCCTTCCACTCCCCACAGGGCAGCCCGCTCAATGCCCCCTCTGTGAAGGCGTAGCCCCATCTTGAGGGCCCACAGTCTTAGTGTTCGAAGCTTGATCTTTCTGTTGTGTGCTTTGGTGAGTCGTTGCTTCATCACTGGGATTCTTCGGCGTCTGGCCCCTTGGTGGTCAACTCCCAAGTCCCTCATGACCGTTTGGATTGGAGGATCATCCGGTGTCAACAGCTCTCGTAGGGCCTTGTCAGTGTGCTTGTCTGTGGTGATGAAGGCCGTTTTCTGTGGGTTGACCTTGAGGCCGAGGTTTACCAAGCGCTCATGTAGGTCACGGTAGGCCTGGACTGCCTTTTTGGCCACTGTCATCGGGGTTGAGCCGGACATATCAAAGCCCACATCATCGACCCAGCTGGAGAGGTGCGCTTC